GGGAACAAATATAGATCTCTTCCAGTCAGTTGGCCAAGTGGTTGTTCTCCAGATTTCTTGGCACAACTTGGTGAGCACATCCAGGGCAACATCATAGTATTTAAAAAAAAAAAAAAGAAGACAGAATATTTGAGGAGCAAGAGATGAAGCATCTCCCTGGCAGATATAGAATAAAGATCAACAACTTTGGTGTAAGGCATCTCCTTTACTAGTTTCTTTTATCTGACATCACTTACTCAAGGTGGTTTTGGTTTTTGCTTTTTGTATGTGTGTGTGTCCAGTAATCACATACTTAGCTTGAGTATTTCTTTTTAATGGATTATTTTAAGGAAGCATTAAACATATGACTATCGTATAAGAGGAGGAATAAAGAAGTCAACTGTTGTTGAGGTATAAACAAGTCAACTGTAGGAGTAAAAATAGAAGGTTTAGGCATAGTTGTATCTGCTCAAGTCCTCACTGTGTTATATAAGAGTGATGTGTCCTTTAGAACGTTAATTAAGTTCTTTGAACCTCTGTTCTTATTACAATTAAAATAATCCATACCCAAAGGGTTACTGTAAGAATGTTTCAAATAAATTTATAATAATTATTACTAATTGTATAGACATTATCTAGCTCAGAGTTTGGTGAACTCTGGTGATGGGGTCCATAGGGAGTTGCCAGGCTGTTTGGATCTCACCATGGTCAGAGATGAGCCGTCTCCTCCTGCGTGATTTACAGCCTCAGACACCCACTGGCGGATCGGCTGTCTGTTGGTCCTGATAGAGCAACACGAGGGCAAGAGCATAGACTTAGGTTTCATTTAATTTCTTGATAAGCAGGAAAGTAATTTCTTTATTGTCTTTTCTTTTTGCACATAGATTCAAACTTCAGTACACTGGGAAATCAATTATTATCATTACCAATGTTAATAATATTATAAATATCATAATTAATATAATAGTATTACTCATTAATATTAATAACAGAAAGAAAAACAAAAGTCATTTATTAAACAGATATTATATTATGTATTTGTGCATGTGTGTTGTTGTTGTTATTGTTGTTAAGGGCTAGTGAGTCAATTATAACCACTAGTGGTCCATGTGACAAAATACAGCTACCCACTGGGTTCCCTAAACTATAATTTTTAAGGAGCTGGTTGTAATATCTTTTTGCCTACAAAGCTACTAAGGTTGGAACGACCAACCTTATGGTGATTGTTGCTGAGTGCTATCAAGTTGGAATCAACCCAAAGTTGATGTTTAGGTGGGTGTTCGTTCAGAGGCAGTTAATCACAGAGGAGGAGATTGTCCATCTTTCTCCCACAGATCAGCTAGAGGCCTTGAACCGTGTGCCTTTTGTATTGCAGCACAGCTCCTTGACACAAGGCCACCAGAGCTCCCTAACCTTTTGGTTAGTAGCCAAGAACTTAGCCATTGTGCCACCAGCACTCCTGATAGACCTGAAAGTTGGGTTTTGCATACAATCTATTATGCAGTCATTTGCTCATTCAACAGTCTTGACAGTGCATGAACAGATCTGATATCAGGGGAAGAGACTAGTCTCCTCACAGTGTATCAAGGGCCCTTCTCATTGTCGATACCCACAGTCTCCTGTCTCCCCCCCCCCCCCAGCAGATTGTGTGGCACTGGGAAGATTCTATAGGAATCATAATGATCAAAGCCTTGTCTCAAGCTGAACTGTCATTATTGCAGTCAAAAAACCTCTCAGCTCATTCAAGGACAGTTTTACTTGAGTCCAGAGCCTGCGCCAGCATCTCTCTGCTGGCCCACGTTACTAATTCAACTAATTGCAGCAATTACAGGAAGGAATTGCTGGTAGTGAGGGAAGCCATTATGCTGTTCCTGAGCAGACTGCATTCATTCCACACTGTTCATGAGTTATGCCAGTCAATAGACTTACAGCCTTCAGAGCACTCAGTTGAGACCACACACCACACGCATTGACACACTCTCAAAGCATTGGTACCTTTCTGCCCTAGCTTTGCATCATTTTCCTGCTCTGTTCTACATTTTGACTTTAAACATTTACATCAAAGCTAAGATAGAAACATGCTGCTTGTGATTTTTCAGGGATATGCTAGACTTGAGCCACCTGGAACCCCTTGGGGCTCCTCAGCTTTACGTGTTATGTTGTTGCCAACTGGGACTCACGGGAAGACTGTGAACAACAGCTGAACCTTGCCTTCTCCTGTGCCAGCCTCAAGATCTTTGACATACCCAAGCCTACTGTTACAGTCACTGTGTCAATTCATCTTGTCAAGCACCACACTCTTTCTAAGACCTTCACAGTGTGATGTCTTTTACCAAGAATTGGCCCCTCCTCATAACATTCTCAGAGTATGAGAGAGAAAGTATCACTATCCTAGCCTCTGAGGAGCATCGTGGCTTCCCTAATTACTATTACGTGTTGGCAAATCAGAACTGGCTCACGGACCAACCCTCCAGCCAGTTTTCAGAGGCAGCAGGATTGCACGTGAAGAGATTGCCTGTCTTTCTCCCATGGAACAGCTGATGGATTCGAATTGCATACTTTTGGGTTCACAGTGCAGCTCTTTACCCCCTACTTAGGCAGCCACCAGAGCTCCCTGGCTTCACATAGACCCACTCAGTTATCTGGACCCAAAGTCCGTCACAGCTCATAGGAGTTAAAAGCCCTCTAACCTACAGTATGCCCTGTTTAGAAAAAGGATTCAGTAAGCTCATGGGAGGCAGGACACAGCGATATGTCTTTGAAGCCTTTGTTTATTAGTTTCCTTATCTCTCTCCCTCTCTCTTCTCCCACCCATTATTTTTCTCTGACATGCACAGCCAACATCAGATGACCTTGTTTCATCTGCTGAATGTTCTAGCGATGATGAAGACTTCGTTGAATGTGAGCCGAGTACAGGTAGGTCAGGTCAGTCTTGTTTTGCTTGCTCTCTTTTATTTTCATTTGCAAAAACCAATACATACATATATATGTGGATATATACATGTTTTATATATTATAGCGTGTTAATGTGTGTGTATTTCATATCTATATATGTATAAGCATACATATATAAATATTATTATATAAATGAAAGCATCAAATCCCATGGAATGAGCCCTGAGGGGGATAATGTATGGAGGAAGCCTTAATTAGGAGCAATCAGCTCTCTCAATTAACCCCCAACAATGCCAATGTATAGCAGCTAGTGACTCCTCTGAAACTGATAGCAGATGGGGGACATGATGAGGTTGATTTGGGAAGGACACCCGAAAACCTATGACCCTAAAGTGGAGCCATCAAAATTGGAAAACAACATCTAACTTCATGAATTGTTCTGAACCCACGTCACAAATGAAAGCAAAGCCTCCTGTTTCCATGGGATTTTGACAGCAGTTAACATGGTGCAGTTATACTAATTTTGTTCACTGTATGTCTGGAGAACTTATGAAGTAATATAATAGAGTCAATCAAAATTAGTACTAAACCATGCATGTCAACGGCTGTGATGCTTTAAAAATGAGCCTTCTGTGCTGAAGTTGAGAGGACTTTGGCAATTAGAAGCTTCAGTGTGTTCCCTTTTTTTGAACCCAGATACATTTTGATGTTTTATGGTCTTTCTTTAGGGTGAGTGAGATATGATATAATGTCCAGCCGGCATCTGAAATCCCTTATTATTTCCTATCAACTTTTCCAAGTCGTCTGCTTTGAGACTTGCTATAAGCAAAACATTTATATGTATATGCATATATACATAAACAGATATATATGTATATATAGAGGTATATAAAATAGAGAACAGATATCATTGAATTTCTGTGTATGTTTAGTGGAATTAAAAGCTGGAGTTGTGTTAGGATCCCTTTTTTTAGAAAAGACTGAATGACATAAATAGAATTTCCCAGTTGATTCTTTTTATTGTTTGATTTTTCTTCTTCTTTTTTTTTTAAAAAAAAAGGAAAACAAAAGGCAAGCCATTAAACATTTTCTTTGACTAATTACAGGGAAATTTGAACTTCATGAATAAAAAGAAAAGCAAAAAACCAAACAAAAAATATATATAAAAAAAAAAGCAAACAGAAAACCCTGCATTTCTTGTCCCCAAATGATTAACAAGTGTGGAAGTCTCACTCCTTAATGACTTGCAAGTACCTTTGGAACCAGGAAGTTCTATGAGCTCTGGGCTTTAGAGGGACAGATAACTTATATGTAGAGCTTTCCCATTCTGCTCCTTTGTGACTTCATTTGTGTGGAAGTAAAGTAAATTTGACCTGGCGCACCAGATATTTTACAGGCTATCAAGTGCTAATATCAGTGTGTTAAAGTAAGTTTTAGCACTAAAGGGGGGACAAACTGAATCTGTGCCACAACTTAGATACCAAATTCTTATTCATGAATTCATTCATCTGCCCATTCATTCATTAAAGAAATATTTCCTGAGCACTCAGGCAGGATACAATGCATGTCCTGATTGGAGTTCTTCATATTTTAATAACGTTCACAAATGAGCTGTCAGGAAATAGAATAAAGGGATTTGCTGTCTGAATTACCTCTCCGATATCATTTAGATCAACAGATATTTTTGACAGTTAACCATTGATGGTTGACACCATTCTAAGTATTAAGAATGCAGGTATGAATACATAGTGATCTCTAAGATATGATGTTCAATTAACTGATTTCTGGCTAATAGTTTAATAGCCAGACTTTTAATTTGGATTATTGTCCATCATGAACCTGATTTTTCAGCACGCTGATTCCTTACACACACTGCCTCCACCGTAAAAACCTCGACAGTAAGTCAGAAGGTTTTCTTCCAGATTTAAGGTCCACAAGACCTACCTCTCCTCAAGTGGTGGGTTGATATTTGCTGTTTGGTATTAAATTTGCACAAAGGCAAACAGGAGTAAGCACCAAGCTAAGTCTATTTGTTTTTTATGTAGCTGCAAGCTGTTTCATCAGCTCCAAAATCAAGGGGCTCGGTTCAACATTAGCATTTCTGAATTAACATGCTTAGTCTATCTAGTAAGTGGAGGATCAAAACCATTTTTAAGACAATCTGCTGTGTTCTGCAGGGGGCCTCGGAGTAGGGGAGCTGGGTGAGATCTGTAAATTAAGTACATTACTGAGTCTCTACCTTGAAGAAGTTGATCCCTTCCCCTAGGATTATTCAGCTCTTTACATTTGAAAAATAAGCATTTCCTCTTTCTAAATTTATCAACCCAAAAAGTGTTCCTGGTAAGTGATTCGGATAAACAGGGGATTATGTCAGAAGCATATTTATACAGGAAGGAGACAGATACTCCTGTTGATGCCTAGAGAGAAGAGATTTTGCTCTGGAAACCTGATTACTTGTGATGAGGGTTACAAGCATAGAGCTTTCAAACCCTCTTTTGCATTCCATAAGAGAGAATTCCCCAGCCATTGTTTTGTAGTTATTAGTTGTCATCCGGGAGAATCTGACCCATCGTGACCTGATGTACAAACTTAAATGCATTGCCATTGAGATGGAAAGGACTCTGAGTTGACCCTCTGTTGGTTTTCAGAGGTTGTATGTCACATGGGAGGAGATCGCCCATTGTTTTGCTGAGTTAAACTCATCTACAGGTGCTTAGAATCACAGACAGGCGCAGTCTTTTGATTAGCAATACCACACCCTAGCAACCAGAGGTCTCCATGTACAACACAATAAAACCCGTCTTGAGCCTGTGTCATCCTCACTATCTCTGCTGTGTGTAAGCCATTGTTGCAATCACGGTGCCAGTCCATCTCATTGAGGGACACCCTTTTCAGTGGCCGCCTACTTCTGAAGCATGATATCCATTTCCAAAGACTGGACCCTCTAGATAGTAAGCCCAAAGTATGTGAGATCATGTTGCAATATCCTAAAAAACATCCGGCTTCACTTTTTCAGGACATTTGTTTGTCCTCTTGACAGTTGATGATATATTCGTTATCCTTCACCAATACTCCTATGGAAAGGCATGAGTTTTTCTAGAGACTTCTTTATTCAGTGTTCAAATTTAACATGCACAACTGAAAATATGAAACAATTGAAAATACTCTGATTTGGGTCAGTATTAGTGTTGAGGCACATTTGTCTTTAAAATGACAGCCGGCCTTGCTTTTACATTTCCCAGAAACATTTAAGGACTAAACATCTGAGCAGTGAAGCCAGTAGGGTCTGAAACTAGGTCTTATTCTACCTAAATGGAAGGTTCCGATTGTTCAAGCAGCAGTAGGAAATGGTGACATTTACATAATCTTGACTTAAACTGGTTCATCCTGAGATATTATATGAATACTGAGATTAAAATTCAGTTATTGACACACTAATTCACTACCACAATTTCCAAAAATTATACTTTTCTCTTTCAGGACTAAGTCCAGACTCAACTTGACTCACTACCCCAGCTGTGTTCTAGTGTATTTTCTACAGCTACTGACTGACTGATGCAGTGACTGCAAAAATGAACTTGAGTGAGCATGATGGAGATTATGAGGATGGCTAAGAGTAGGACAATGAACTTGAGAGAGCCTGGTGGAGATGATGAGGATGTCTAAGAGTAGGACAAGTTTTCCAGCTGTTATAATTGTTGTTAACACAAAGGCACTGACAATAACTGGTTTCTCCCACTCTATTAGCCTTCTTATTGTCATCTCTTTCTCTCTCTCAGTTACTAGACATTATGATTCTTGTTTATAGTTTAAATGTTTTTAAATTATTATTTAAATTTATTATTATTTCTCACAGATGTAGGCAGTATAATGTCACCTTTTATTTTCATGTGGGCTTCAGCATTCTAGTGAAATTACTTTCATAATTTGATGTTCATTAAATCAACATGGATTTTCAAGGTGCTGAGTTGGAGTCAGGTGTAAGCCTCACAGTGAGAGCTCGAGGGAGGCACCATGGTGGCATGGTGTTTAAAGCACTTGATGGCTAACCACAAAGCCAGAAGTTCAAACTCACCAGCTGCTCTGTGGAAGAAAGTTTTCGACCTTGGAAACCCTGTGGGACAGTTCTACTCTGCCCTATAGGGTCAACTAGGATTCAATGATTCAGCGTCAGTCAGTCTGCTTTGGCGTTGGTGGTTTGGAGCAGCTTTGTTGTATCACGGCCAGGGACAATCTGTTTTGGAGTTTGGCCAATATAAGCCAAGAAACCTTGCATTTAATAGGTCTCAAATTCCCATTGGATATTTTCCTGCAGAACTATGTAAATAAGAATAACAAAATTACCCAAATAATGAGATCAAGCTCAATTAATATTTGGTGATTGAATTAGTATGACTCTCAAAATATCTTAGAATTTTAAATTGGAATATATGTTGCATACATCTAACTTCATCTCCCCTTAAATGGCTAAAATAAAATCTATTGAATCCTTTAAAACCTATCATTCCATAAAGGAAACATTGCCTAATAAAATCTACATTTTTCCCCCCACAGAAAGGATGTTCTCATTCCCTCTATCCCTTCACAGATAAGATCGTATTTTCTGAGCATTTGCTTTAAGGATTCAGAATTGAATTTTTAACTATAAAATCATGATGAAGCGTTCTGCTTCAATTGAAAACATTCAGAGTCTGTTTTAATAGCTATTTAAGTACCTACAGGTGAATATTAGGCTTTTAACTTTGCTAAGTTATAAACTTTGACTGTGTTCTCCACAAAGTAAGACAGAATCTACTTAATATTTCCAATTAGTTTCTTTGCATATAAACCTTCTCTTCCTAACCACATGTAGCTGTTATTAAATTATGCAGTAAACTCATATTTCATTGTCCTTATTTCTTTGGTTCCAACAAGAAATGTAGGTTTTTTGGAAAGGGGCCAAATAATTACCAGGAAATGGAATTCCTTCAGGAGCTTATGAGGGCCAAATCGCGATTATGACCTTTAGGAAATTCACATTT